AGTGATCACGACGCAAGTTTAGATGCGCGCGCATTTTTCAATATTGTGTAATCAAGAGAAGAGAACACGTGCTGTGTGAGCATTTTCAATAAATTTTTAGTGACTTAAAACATTTTACATTTAATAGTTTTTACATTTTCAGTTCTATACATTTAAGTATTAAATATCGAATTTTTAAAAAAATTAGATAAAAACCTCCAAAAAGAGGAGATTTCATGTTTTTTTTGGAAATCTCCCGGAGCCTTTTTTTTTGCCTTAAAATCCGGAGATCTCCGGGCAAATCCGGAGATATGGAAACCCTAAGAACAACCCTTCTCCTCCTCCCACAATAACGACACGCTCTTTTTTAGCCCTGTTGTATCATTTACATTTATACAAAATTTATACTAAAAAAATAAATTTATAAAGTATCAAAAAATTTAGTCTAAAGTATAATAGTATAATGATTTTTAAATGCAATTATATATATATATATATATATATATATATATTTAAATGCAATTATATATATATATATATATAAAATATATATATATATATATATATATATATATATATATATATATATATATATATATATATATATATATATATATATATATATATATATATATATATATATATATATATATATATATATATATATATATATATATATATATATATATATATATATTAGGTTGTGTCGATTTTTGATTTTTTTCGAGAAAAAAATTGGGGAGTTACTAAAAGTTGCAAAATTTGACGGAGAATCCAAATATGTTTTTAAAAATTGAATTAAAAATTTTTTTGCTTAGATGATTTAACTTTTTATATTTCAATAAAATTTTGACCTGGTTTCTCAAAAAAACCCGGTTTTTACTTGGAATTAATAAGCTTTTTTTCTACTTTGTTTGATGAATATCAATTGAAATATAAATGTTGATTAAAACCAATTTTAGATATTATAGTACTTTCTTTAAGAATTTGTATAAAATATAAATGAAATATTTCTTATTTCAAAATTAGGCTTTGAATTTAATTTTTAATATGCATATTTATTTAAAACTGAAATTAGATTGAGATTAATTTATATATATTAAAATATTTTTCAATGTATTTTAAATACAGTTTGCCTTAACATCGCGTAATAATTTTATTGGTATTGATGCTAGAAATACAGCAAGATATTAAAAAAAAAACCCGAATTATTTCAATAAATATTATAAATTTAATACAAAAACATTTGTGTCAAACTCTCAAGGTCTTGCTTACTATTATTTTTAGGCATTAACTTTCTACTCGCCTCTTGAGTTCGGACAAATCCTTCTCTCTTTTCATGAGTTTACACTCTACTTAAAGCTTCTGTAACTTGCTTTACGCAACGTTCAACAGATTTTCCATGACATGGCCAAATCGGCACCTGCATAGGGTTTGATAAAAACACATTAATTTCTGAAGTTGTTAGAGAGGGAGTTAAGACTGGTTCATAAACCGGTGACTCCCATGATATTAAATCTACCAATTTTTTAGCATTAAAGTTCAGAACATGCTTTTTTCTTGGCCTAGGAGAGGAATCACCTTTTTGTAGATCTTCATTTCCAGTACCTCTAATATCTTTTATCTTATTAATAGCTACACTTCTATCCTCTTCAGTATTAAAACACAACAATGTTTGTAGTATATGCTCACTGAAACAAAACCAAGCTGATCTTTGTATAGAGGGTGATACTATTTTAATGACATCTTCTTTTTGAAATTTAAGTTGCTGCAGTTGGTAAAGTACATGTTTAGGACCTTCAATCCAAGAATGTTCAACTTTAATCTTAAACCAACAAGGAAAATAAACACCTACAATGTACTCGGTGATAGATCTTAAATTTTCTAGATCTTTACCTTGAATTCCATGTTTAGAGATCCATATTCTACATATTCTGTTAGCAGTAGTTAACCATCTTGAATGTGAAACAGGCCCAATTTGTAATAAATGAAATTTTGGTGGTAAAATACCACTTCTAATGGCACAAACAACTTTATAACCATAAAATTGATCTGCAGACAGGTCATTTATTATTTTATCATCGAGAGAATTAAGTGGATTGCCAATTTTAATAGTTTCAAATACTGGATTTATATCTAGATCTGTAGCATGATCAAGCATGGAACCAATAACACCCGACCATTTATTGTTTGATTTCGTTTGACCATCTAAATTGGTTATAAGATATCTCAGTGGTAACTCATTTGTATGGAGTTGACATATAAGCCAATCAAGTTTTTTTCCTAATTTTATTTCTATATGTTTGATGACTCCACCCTCCCAACCGGTGTTTACATTTGTAGAGTCTCCACCAACAGCCAGTAAAGACTTGTCAATACCTCTCTCAGTCAGCCATTCAACAATTTTATTTGCTATAATCTCTGCATGTTTAACACTTTTTGTTGCTTTCTCAGGAGTAAAGTGAAACAAATATTTTCCTCCAGGTTCCATACAAACAGAGTAATGTTCTTTTTTCACTGTTACTGGAATTTTTGCATTTGAGTCATCAAGTTCAATCATTTGCTTGGTTTGATCAATTCTCCCATCAAAAAATATGCATTTCACTTCTCCACTTTTTGCTATTTTGTCAAAATCCTTACTAAGGTCAGAGATTTTTCTTGCGCTCTCGAAACTTTACTATGATCAATAATTAACTTTTTATCATCAGATATTATTAATCCTGCATCAATTAGTGTTGCTGTAGCAATTGCAGCTGTAGCACGTGCAGATACCCCATATCTATGTGAGCAAAATTTACTCAGAAATAGAATTACTTTTAAATATATATATACATATATATATATATATATATTTATATATATTTTAATATATATATATATATATATATATATATATATATATATATATATATATATATATATATATATATATATATATGTGTGAAATTTCTAAGGTATTGTAACATCTTTTTTTTCCTAATGATTTCTCTAGTACTAAAGGTAATTCTACATTAGTAATATCATCAATGTTATCATTTAACTCTATTTCATTACTAAAATCACTTTCTTTTTGAAAGTTTATCTGATCTGACTCAATTTTTTGTTTTTTAGTTAAAATAACATTGCTGTCTTTATTCTCAAAATATTTTTCTCGATCCTTTCGAAGTAATCTTTTGAACTGTTTCCTGGTTTCAATACTGTCAGGTAATCCAATTTGAAACTTGCTAACAGTTCCAGTTTTAATTCTTTGAAAATATATAAACTTAACGTCAATAGATGGTATTTTTTACTCTTTGATACATTTGTATTTACAATGAACTTCTTTATCACAATCATCAGAACAAATAAAATCATCACATTTTACAATTGGACATTTGCATACTAGTATATCAAAAAGTTTATCAAGTTTTTCTTTAAATTTTATTATTTGTTTAGCTCCTTTTTTTCTTGGACAAGCTATTGCTGAAACGTTGTTCCACAAAGCCACTATTTTATCACAAATTGTTTTATCAGTAATTAATTTAGGCGATGTAAATTCCAAATTTGCACTCGACCACTGGTGTAATAAAGTTGGAAGTATACCTTTGGCCATCTCTTTTACAGGATAATTTCTTTTTTTTATGTCTTCGCAGCCCTCTCTTAATAAAATTGCATATCTTATAACATCTCTGTTGGTTGGTAATTCTGAAACTAGAAATTGTTTTCCTGTACCAAATGCAACACTAATTTGCGTACAAGTACTTATTCTGGTTTTGGGTGCCATTATTCCTCCAAGTTATAAAATTTTTAAAGAGAATTTATTATTGTTTAGTAATGAAAAAAATTTTTTTTTAATATTTTAAGAATAAAAACAATTGATCAAAAGTTCTTAAATTTATATTTAACAATATGCAGTTCGCAGTTGTTTACTAAATGCGGCAATGAAAAATTAATTTACTGACCATTATTAAGATTAAAAAATTACGTTTGAGTAATTTTTTTTTTTAATAAAAAGTTATTTTACGCATTTAATACAAAAATTTTTTAATTACTTTATACATATTAAGTTAAATGGTTTTTTTATAAACTTAATGTAAATTTGTTTTGTTGTTTAAAAGTCTGTTTTTTCTTTACGTACAGTATTGTCCGGTAACGTCGTTGTTCCGTTTAAAAGGAAATAAAAACCGTTAATACTTTCATAAAAAGGCTAATCACCTAAGTAAATATTTTTCTGATTAAAAAATTTTAACAGATTTAGATTCTCCGTAAAATTTTGCAACTTTTAGTTATACCCCAAATTTTATTATACTTTTTTTTCAAAAAAAGTCTAAAATTGACACACCCTAATATATATATATATATATATATATATATATATATATATATATATATATATATATATATATATATATATATATATATATATATATATATATATATATATATATATATTATTTTTATATCTTTTTAAGTACAGTTTAAATAAAAAAAAAATAAAACTTTATAATAAGCAACTTTGTAAAAATTTATAATAAACAGAGGAAGAGAAATAAAGGAGAATACATATACATACATTAATAATAAAATAGAGAATACATTAATAATAAAATAGAACTTGAAATAACTAGCGTTGTCAAAGTTTGTTTCTGAAAACCTCTTTCCTTTTTGTTAATTTATTTAACTTTAAAGAATTCAATAATACTGGTTCCATCAATTCAATAATAATGGCCTTTCTAATGATATAACATTCAAGTATTTTATTAAATAAAAACTTTACTATCACATATCAAAACTATGCATATATGTAAAAGTAATAACTTTTTGAATGTCAATCCATAATCAATATACAGAAAAGGCAAAAAATATACTTAGCGTTGTTGCCGTGTTTAAGATAAAAAATATATAGTAATACAGTTTTTAAATTCTAGGTGTTAATTAAAACTTAGTTTGTATTCAAAACAATATAATTCTGATTTGAATAAAAAGTAACTGTTCATAAAAATTGCTGAAATTTTTTGAAACTTATATTTAAAAAAACTTACTTGTTGCAGTCAAGTTAGTTTTTATAAAAAAACTAACTTGTTGCAGCCTTGAAAGTGATTGGAAAAGAAATTATAAACCACTGTGGCGTTTATTTCCTGATATATTTGTTTGAATGTTATTATTATTTCGTGACAGGGTATGCAAATATGGACTAAATTTGCACCATTTGTTATTTTTGTATTAAAATCGTTTCTGTTGACAGATTGACATCTGTCAAGTATAAACAATGTGGTAAGTAAATATGTAGAAGTTTACAATAGAGCACTGCGTCTTTATTGTTAAAATTTATTTTAAGTTTTAGTAAAAATTATGCATGAGTTATTTTTTATTTATTTTTTAAAAGCAAAGTTTACGCCAATAGTCGTCAAACTATTCAACATCTGAATTAAAACATAAAAGAGGAAATTACTTAAATTGAACATCAATTATATCATTATGTGAAAATTTTACTAAAACAGTAAAGGCTTATGTTGCAAGTGGTCATCTGCAATGTGTCTACTTTAAAATTCAGTAAAAATATCTATTTCAAAAAAATAATGTCATTAATTAAAAAACTAAAAATTTAATTCAAATTTGAACAAACTTTTTAATCATTTCGCATAGCGGTTTATACGGCAAATACAATATTATCGTGCGCACGTATATTGTCGTTGTATGTCGTGTATCTTTTCATCCAGAATAGTATAAAAAAATTATCAAAAATATATATTAGTATGTTTGCTAGTGTCTAAATTGCAAAATTAGGTATCGTTGTAATGTTTAATACCAACTCCATAAGCTTGCATACATTTTTCCATTGTAAAAAAACTGGTTTGAATGATATACTTGTTACAGTGTGTTTTAAACGATTTACACAGTAGAGATGATCTCTATAAAAAAATACTCTACTTTAAATGCATACTGTCTTGTAAAAGGCTTCCTAGGCAAAGATTTAAGGAGTATACAGATTTTATCGGTTTACCTCCTTGCACGCATTCATTATCTATTATGCTGGCGTAGGTGTAATGCGTAGATGTATAAGATGTTCTCTAAATGGTATCTAATGGTTACATTATCACCTTTTTACTTTAAAGTTGAATATCTTTAAAATTTTCTACATAGGAGTGTTAATTAATAGTATCTATGTACTTTCTTTGATTCTCTTAAGTCATGTAGTAGAAGTCATATACTTAACTCACAATTAAAAGGTGTGATATTTAAATACACCCAACACCACTAAAAATGTTGCATTTAATTATTACCCTTAAGAAGCAGGTTCGGAGAGAACTATTATTTTGAGTTGAAGATTAAATGTGATAGAGTTGAAAACAAAATAAAAGTTAATAAAAAAATGGATATCCTGATTTTTTAAAACAGACGAGCCTATAAGCAGGGAATCTAAGGCAAACTTGTGCAAAAGAAGTAGTTTGCTGCCGATCTCTTAAAAATGTTTTCAATAAAAAATTTGTATAAGCAAGGTTTAAAGTTTTAAAGTCTAAATTTATAATTTTTGTTGATAAAATTGATTTCCCAGAAAAGATATTAATTGTTTAAATATAAGTTCCACACGGTCGTTTAAATGTGGAAAGTTGTTATACTCAAGCGAAGTTTCAAATACAAATATTACAACTTTAAAGATGGTGACGGCATTAAAAATATTTTTTATTAACAACAAATTTATTTTAAGTTTTAGTAGCTATTATTTGTATATTTTTGATAGAACAAAATAATTATAAAGATAATCGAATTGTTGATTCTGTTGCGCTAATCAAGTTATTGTAAACGTAAATTATTTGGATTGTCTGATTATACTAAACAATTAATGTCCCCCTTGGGAATATGTATAAATAGCGTGCTTATCGAAGTCTCGCTCTCTTGGAGTAACCTATAAAACATAAACGGACTCGAGCAACTGTTCTACTACTAGCTGTGATCTACAATATCTTTCTTGTGTTTATTGCATATTTGTATATAATATATTAATTATAATAAATTGAACTCGTTTTACAATACGACTCTTACGTAAAACAACAGATTCAAAATTGTTAAAAACAAAATAAAGATGTATTTGCATATAAATACAAGGATTCTCGGCTACAATTGTTTAAATTAATACCCTGGTGTAGACCCAGAGTGGAAATTCTTTTGGGATATCAGACTCCGATGAAAGCTAGAGGTTTTCATGTGTTCATACTGTACCAGAAGGAGTCCATATCTACCGAATCCATATATACCAAGTCCATATAATATATGGACTCGGTATATATGGATTCGGTATATAATTGGTATATGGTTATTCGGTATATGGTTATTCGGTATATTATCGGTATATGGACTCGGTATATATGGATTCGGTATATTATACCGAATCCATACTGTACTCAAGACGCCAATGATTTTTATTTTAAAACACTTTTATTCATAATATTTATCACCCTAATAATACAGAATATATGGTAACTACTTATAAAACAAATAATTCTACTTCATCACTGGTACTGTCTATACATCACATTTACGTTTCACACTAACGACAATTTAGTAACAAAACAAATAATGACTTTTACTTTCCTCAACTATTATTTATTGTTCTTGTTCGTTTTTACTACATTTTATTTAGATAAGTTTTTAGTATTTTTCTACTTAGAAGCTCTTTGTTATCCACTAGACATCTGTCCTTTTGTACTTTTATCTTACTGTGCTATACTCTTTAACTTATTATTTATCTCTAAAGCGTTCACTGCTCGGTGCAGTTTCACTAAAATGCATAGCATTTAAAGAAAGTACTTAATTTCAGCGTGGACTGCAGAGCAACGACTATCTTCTTTGTCAACTACATGTACACTAGATAAATTTATTTACCTTACAAAACCTACAATAAAGAGTACTTACCACATTAAAAAATACATGCTTATGCACATACACCTCTCATCCTGAGTTAACACTTTACTTTGCTCTTTTTTAGTTTATTTTGATTTCCTTCTATTATTTTTTCTTATATAAAATTATTCTTATTATTAAATATTTACTGTATATCGCACAAAATCAGCCATGCTATACATACAGTTTTTTTAATTGAGTAGAGGCTACCTGCTAACTGTTTTATAAAACGAATAATTCTACTCCATGTCGGATACTTCTGGTTACATTACAGTAACGTGATATATGCACAGTTAATCTTGTCACTTAAACAAAATACAAAAATCCATAAAATTTTAGATTATAAGCACGGTCGTTCAGACTTACTAAATAAGTGGAAAGTTATTATACGCAAGCGCAGTAAAGTTTGCATATTTAAAGAGTTTTGAAAAATGGCTACGGAAAAAAAAATTCTCATTGACAACGAGCTATTTTTCTAATTTTTAGCTATTAAATATGCATTTAGCATTAAAAGGAAATTATAATAAAAGTAACTTCTAGTACACGATAAAATATTTCAAATTAAATATAAAAGCTATAAAAATGAAAAAAATGTAATTACAGCAATAGCTATTTTAGTGTGTTTTGTTTATTGTTTTTAAATCGTTTTTAAAAAGATTTTAAGCGTAGAAATTTTTAAATTTTAACTTTTTAAGATAAACGAACTGTTGATCTTTCTTAGAATGTTTACTAACTTTTTGTAAGCTGTTGCTAGGCTACTCTATAATCACAATACATAATTATATTGATGTGAGTTAATTTATTGATGATTATATTGATGTGAGTAAATATTTTTTGAGGACCTCAAATCACTTATGCTTTATAATGTAAAGTATTATATTGTCATAAGTATATAAAGTTATATACAAATTATATTATTTATTTTATAAAATAAATTTATATTATATTATAAAATAAATTAATATATTATAAAATATTATATTATAAAATAAATATATTATAAAATAATATATTATAAAATAAATTAAAATAATATATTATAAAATAAATTAAATAAAGTATAAATGATTTGGTAATAATTAATATAATAATAAAAAATAAAATTAAATATGTGCCACTACAATTCGTTTTACAATAAAAGATTACTTATCATTCATTAATGAATTCCAATAAAATTATAACAAACAGAAGTCAATAAAAATTAAAAAGAAACTGACATTTGCAAAAAAGTTAAAGATTTTTATCTTTATTTTAAGTTTTTTTTTTTTAATTCTTTACTAACTTGTTAACTCTCTTTTTTAAAATTCTTAATAAAAATAACGCATGCGCAAACTCAATCGTTTTTTAAATTACAAACATGATTAAAGTCCGGAACAAGATTGGCATGATCGGCACAGTCAGCCGATTGTAAAACAAACACGGGCAACCATTGGAAAATGAACGCCATCACTAGCGAAGTGGTGCCGGTCATCAGCCAAATGAATCACATGCATGGACCAAGCATGGAGAGTTTGCTGGGACGTTATAAGTAGTGGATGTCTGTAATGTCTTGCTAGCAAAACACCAGTTATAGACTCCCGGTACGGATACCTGGCACGTTTATCTGGTATGAACAACTGTTTCCTGGTACAGCGAAATACATGTTTTTTTTTTTTTTAATTAAAATATTTCAAATTAAATATAAAAGCTATAAAAATGAAAAAAATGTAATTACAGCAATAGCTATTTTAGTGTGTTTTGTTTATTGTTTTTAAATGGGCCAATGCATCATCATGCCATTGCATGATGATGCATTGGCCCAACGTTGAAAGTCAATGTTGGCCCAATGCAGGTTTGATCATTGGCCCAATGTTGTATACAACGTTTACTCAACATTGGCCCAATGTTGTATACAACAGTCGATATTGACCCAATGTTGTATACAACGTTTACCCAACATTGGCCCAACGTTGTATACAACATTGACCCAACGTTGTATACAAAATTGGCCTAACGTTCTATACAACATGGGCCCAATATCGTATGTTATATATCGGCCTAACGTTTTATGCAACATTAGATCGTTGTTACAAAAAAGTTAAATTTTCAATGTGGCGATTTGCATCGCCACATTGAAAATTTATAGAGAAAAAAAAGAATGTATGATACAAGTATAAAAATTTATTTATTTAACATAATTTATCTGTTAAATATTCATATTGCAAACACTAAACTTAAACCAAAAACTGACACATTGAGTTTTAAATA